TGATGCAGAAGCGGAGGTCGGCTGCTGTTGATGATTCATGATAGTGTCGGCGTCGTCGTGGTCTTTGCCTTGGTATGGTGCGATCAATTGCTACGTTTTTTTGGCCCCCGCTATCAAGGAACTTGGCAACTTAGTCAAGAAATTGATATCGCCTCGAGAAACTCACAGTCTAACAACTCGAGCACATTTGCGAGCCCGGTCAAGCACCCCTACTATAGTGAAACGTATACACTCTGGTAAAGAACCTCCACACTATAACCTATGTACTCCGGTAAAGGACCCCCAACACTCTAAACCTATATACATACCCCGGTAAAGAACCCGTGCACTAAAACCTATACATCAGCTATTCGCAGATAACCTATTTAGGAACTCGGAACCCCACCCTCGGGCCAGTAAGTATTATTTATAGAGGTTCTTCAGGGCCGGCGCTAACTGCTGTAGTCCCCCTCCCCCCTCCCGCGCCCCCCGGTGTTTGCCATCGGGGTTTGGGTTTTCGTCGCTTGGCAACGACGTTGTAAAACAAGCCCCCTACTCGGTGTTTGCCATCGGAATTGGGTTTTCGTCGCTTGGCAACGACGTTGTAAAACGAGCCAATTCACTTCGTGAACTCGGCAACCAGGTTACCGTTTTTTGTTTTTACCTCGTTTTTTTTTTGGCGGTAACCATAATGGTGGTCGAGTAGATCATGTTGTGCGGGGTCGAGAAACCTCACTCCGCGCAACGGGGGATGATCGCAACCACGTTGTGTTAAAATGGTCAAGCTTCCTCGAGGCAGTTACACAGTGCTTACAACTGTCTCTGGAAGTGAAAGCACCAGAAAATAAATTAAGTCATACGTAGCTGTCATCCGTACGCAAGGAAGTAAGCACAAGATGCCGAACACCCTTAGCAGGATGCAGCTCACCCTTCATGCGACTCGCCAAATACCTCACGGCGCTTCGCGCTTGGTGATGTGAGAGCCTGGTCCGCCCGGCGTGCTCCGTCCAGGCTTTGTAGGGATGCGAGGTCAATGGTCAAACGACTACGGCATGCACGACTATGAGTACCCCCCCCCCCCCCCCTCCCGCTTCCCCCAGATGTTATGGTCGGAGACGAGGGGGCGTTCTTAGACGAGGAAGACCTGGACGACTTGAGCGACGACGAAGATGACGACGACAGGGCATAACGAGGAATTGGGGGAAGGGAGAGAGAGAGAGAGAGAGAGAGAGAGAGAGAGTGGTGCAGAAAATACAAGTACCTCGTATTCTCGACTCCAGCAGCGTTGTCGAGCCGCTGTTGTTCCCATTTGCGTTGATTAGTTTGACGAAACACGTACCACTACTGTCTGCGCAAGCACGAAGAGGGGCGTGGTGGTAGAGGTTCGAAGTCGATGCGTTTTCTTGTTCTTGTGTTTTACTGCTGTAGGCAGTACAAACCCAACACGTACGTACTTGTGCGACTGTAACAGATGCATCCATGTGGGGTACCGTTCATACCATCGGCTGAACAGCGCGTTTATGTAGTCGGATTTGGAGTTGAACAAACGGGACGCAACAGCTGGTCGTGCTATGTAGAAGATATTCAGCGGTGACAGCAGGGCTGTGTACCCTGCTTTTGGACCCCCTCCGGCTGGTTTGGCAGAACATGTGAGGAAGTTCATCACCGACTATTGCACACCATGGTTTGTACCATGCGAACGCAAGCTGAGCTCCCGTTCTTAGTTAATGGCCAATCCAAGTGGTTCCGTCTTTTGCATGCCATGGTTTTTACAATGGGCACAGAAAATCTAGTGAAATGGGAAAAAAAGACTACCAGTTCCAGAAATAACAACCACAGGCATTCGAAATCGAAATGGCCAATTCGAGTTGTTTTCAGGTTCCATCTTTTTAGCTTGAAATTCTTTTCTCACCAGATTTGCTCTGGGTTAGCTACAAACAGTTGAAGTGGGTGGCGCAAGCGTTCTGGAACTATTCTTGCTCGTGCGGAGCTTGTTCTTTTCTTTTCTTTCTTTTTTTCTTCTTTTCTTTCATCGCGTGGATGCACAGTAGACCAAGCAAGGCTAGGACGCATGGAATTGAAAGGAAGGGTGATTGATGTCGATTGTTGTTACCAGGTTCGTTCGCTATGTCTATTATAGTCTAACTATGTGGTGGGCGGCGCAAGCGGACCTAAATTTGCTCGTCGTGCGGAGCTTTTTCAATTCTTCTCTTTTCTTATTTTCTTTCACACACACACACACACAAGACCTTCTAGGTTCTTCTGTTGCTACTTGTACCTTTTCTGTCTTTGATCCTGGAGGAAGGATAGTTTAGCCCCCCCCCATGCTGCCCCCTCACGAGGTCCCAGTTCATGGCAGATGAAAGTTTTTTGTGTTTTCAACCGCACTAAGACTGACGTATGTTTTCAACCGCACTAAGACTGACACTGACGTCTTTTCATTGGTCAGCCGGTTATCGCGGTCGTCCTAATAATAATAAAGACACATATATATAGTACATGGATGATGGATGGATGCATAGATTGTATGTATGTACTACGTTGTACTGTAGACCAAGCAAGGCTTGGACGAATGAAACGAAAGGAAAAGGTTACGAATGGAATCGAAAGGAAGGAAAATGTCGACTGATCTGTCTGATGGATCTCCGTTTATTATTATTATTATTATGAAGTGTAGCAAATTCACAATTTGTTTACAACCCAACCGGGCTTGGCTGGGGCCGGCACATTGTAATTCTTGCCAAAATATTTTTTTCACGCACGTGGGTCTCACCACTCCACCCGCTGGCTGGCTCACGACGCGAGAAACTGCACTGACTGCTGTACATGAACGCATCAGATATATGTCAAAGATACATAGATGGGGGGTCCCGTGAATGCAAAGAAAGGTGGAACCGGCGGTGGGTGAGTAGTGGGGCACGGAATAGTATTCTACCTGGTGTTTTTTTTTCTCAGAATAGTATTCGCAAAAAATAAAACGCGGGGTAACTACGCGCCCGGTGACCACGCCGCTGGCCCTCACACAGACAGAATCAGAATACAAGCGTTCCCGGTTCGGTCGGAGAGAGGTACCCACACTGTGAGATTGGTCGTGGGCTGAGCGAGGTCCAGGAAGGAGCTTCTCCTCTATAGCCAAGGTGAGGCGCGCGGGAAGCGTGTGTGCCGCCCCATCAGCGGTAGCAGCTGCTTCTGCTGGCAGCACACACCACCCCCGACGGTGTGAAATTGTTCTTGACGTGTGCTTGATGTTGACCCTGTTGCAGGCCGTGTTTGTTAGTTTTGTTTTGTTGGGCGACGTACGTCCATGGTGCTCCCTGGCTGGCTGGCTGGCTGGCACCCCGGGTCTGCGCTCGCTCCACATGCGAACCGCAGCAGTTTTCCGGGGTATCGGGTGCTACAGCCCGTGACTGGCTCACGGCAAGGGGTTGGCCGTTCGTGGCTCGATTCCATGCGGCTCGGACGACTCCTATTACTGCTGCTGTTGTCGATCGATCTACACGTTCGTTGTCCATAGCAGTCGACTGAGTTGTTCTTTCTGCCCCGAGAAAAACATGGTACCACAGGGCATACGCCCCCAAAAGCCGCGTGTGCTTGCCCACAGGGGGTACAGGATGGTGGTGTGCGCGTTGGGTGCGAATCGTGGGCGTTGAGATGGCATCTTGCCCGTGTTAATCAAGAGCAGGTGGGAAGCGGCGGCCACCCTACAGCAGCAACAGCCGTTGTTACATATAGAAAATACAAAGGAGGAGCCTCGGGCCGTCTGCGGTCATGGTACTTTACCTAGAAAAGAACAATGCAAGAAACTCCGCCAAAGCTTTTTTTCCGCTTGATACATGTCATGGCCCTTTTTCTGAGAAAATAGTGCCCAACAAGATCAATGCCAGCTATTTATTATTTACCTACATGTATGCCTCTGAACGTGGGCGGCATCGTTGCATACTATTTACGCCGCGGCCACGTGCAAGAGCGGGGCAGCGATGCCCTGCTGTCTGGCGCAAGGTGCTGCTGCTGATGGGCCTGAGCAGGTATTGAACGTGCGAGTAGCCACGCACAGCACCAGCAGTATACATTTTTTCTTCAAAACTCTCGGACCACCCTTGCCGCACCCCCACACACCTCTTCTATCCTCGGCACACAAAGTAAGAAGTCAGCCGTGTGCACTCGTGGGCTGGTGTACGCAAGAACATAACGCGGTGGTGTTTGCTGCTGGTGTGGCGCATGGTGCTGGCCGTGGGAGGGACTGACCACGAGAGCGCGGTTTGGTCGCTTCAACCCCCACGCCGCCGCATATCCATCGCTCTCTCTCTCTCTCAGCCTGTGCGATCTTTTACTCAAACACCGAATTATGAAGGAATCACAACAATAGTTGTTATTAATAGTTGATATCGTACCCAACGACAGCCGTTTGCTGCGAGTGATCTCGATTCGGTGTTGGTGAAGATGACAGCGTACAGCAAACCGCTGCTTGCGACAGCGCGTGTTCTATGTTCATCGCCGTCCGGTCGCGTATGCAGCTTTCACAGCAGCTCTAATGCAACCTCTGCTTGCTACAGCAATTCCAATATCCGCCGGTCATTATCAAATCGTTGATGGCTTGCGACAGCCCACTCTTTGTCTATCTGCCGTCATTTGCCGTTCGATGTTTTTATGCACACAACCGCTGCTGGCGATTGCCGAAGGCGCTAGCCGGCGTAGCACTGGAGCTTGTGTACATCGCTATGCATACGATCCGGGGCGGGTATTTGTCCCTGGGTGCAGCCGTTGGAGCCGCTATGCATAGACTACACGACCTGGTCGGTATTTGTCGCATGGGTGCATCCCCCTCGGAGCTGTGCATTCAGCTACCTACATAGAATACACACCTCCTTTTGCGATCCGGGGTCGTTGTGGAATATTAAATATTGTTTGTTTTATTTTCCTATGGGTGCATGCATGCCCTATGCGTGCTAAACTATGTACTTCATCTCGTATCTCTCTCCTCATCGAAGGGCTAGCAGAGCGCTACGGTATGTACATACATACGTGCGCACGATGATAGGGATGGGTGTATGTCCGAGGGGAGCGACATACACCAACCTTGTTTCATCGTACGATACTCCTTAGGAATAATAAAGATTTCTGTGAGGGGAGGTTTACTTTCTAACAAAAAGTGACTGCACACAGAACGACTACCCTTTCGAGATACACCCACAGCAGTCGAAGGGGATGTGTTGGGAGTCTTTCCAGCAGTGAGTGGAGGAAACCGGCTGGGTACTGGACGTATTTCGAGTCTCTTTAGTTCTACAATATGCACTCCTTGTACCTGGGGTCGGTCAATATGCACTCCTTGTACCTGGGGTCGGTCAAACGGGTTTTTTTCAGGCCCATGGGGTGCAGCATGTTGCTGGCCGACCGACCGACCACCGTAGGCGACCTATGGCGCACCTACATACCCCGTGGACCGATTTTCGAAGCATCACCGTGCAGCTTCGGTGAGATACCACGCCCCCTGAAACATGATTTCAAAGCTGGACTATGTACCCCAAGACAAAGAGCATGCCAAGATAAAAATGATACAAGCAGTCTGGTACACTTGAATGGTTTCGGAATGATGATCTCCACGAGACGATTCCAACGTCGCCATGTGGAAGGGGAGGGTAGAGAGGGGCTCATCTTCTGTGTGACCACGGGTTGGAGTACACGGCACTAGTGCTGAAAGCGCTGATTTGAAGTTGTTGTTGTTGTTGTCTTCACATTAAAAAGCCGTTCCGTTCTCTCTGCTCAGTACCTTCTTCTGTCCGTACTATAACAGTCTAACACTTGACGGGGTCGATTCCCGTGGTCACAGGATAACTTACCCAAAAAAAGATATACGAAAATAAAATAGACCCGAAGGTTCCGCAAGCCATTAAAAGTCAACGACAGATAGTCTAGGCCATTGAAGTGAAGACAAAAGAAACAAAAACAGATGGATTCGTTGTGTCATATTAAGAAAGAAAAAAAGGTTTCGGCACCGCCGCTCTTTCTTGTAGTATTAGTAGTGCTGTGGAGTTTCCGAGCTTTCTGGAAAATCGGCCCACGGATGGTGAGGTATCTCGTGTCGTCTACGGCAGTCTATTGCTGCACGAAGGGTGGATTTATTTAACAACCCAAATGACACAACGAACCTTGGAAAGCTCTCGACGACGAGATTGCAGATATTTTATGTACATGTATGCATATCACCGCCGTGCTTTTCGGCACGGCTGCTCTTTCTTTCTGCCGGGCCCGGGTGGGGGGGGATACCTTCCGTCAACCACTTTGTAAGCATTACAGCAGTCGATCTCCGGGGGTGGGGGATCAGGATTTTCCCAAGGGTTCGTGCATGCCCTGTAAACTGTAAACCCCTGACGTATCTTCGGCCGGAGCAACAGGTTTGCCGTGGACCTACCTACCTACATTATGGATACACATATCACTCTGCGATTCTTTTCCGTATTCTTTTCCGTCTTACGATGGATAGGGGTAGGTAGAACAATACTTGTTGTTGCATGTATGCTCAGACAGCAGTATCTTTTTTTTTTTTTTCTTAATATGACACAACGAATCCATCTCTTATCATAGAAAAGAGTCAGAGACAGACAGCAGTTTTTGCAGTCTGTTAGTGACTCTTCCTATCTATCGGCTTTTACGCCCTCTGATTGGTCCGGCGTTGGTTCCTAGCCTTGACCCTCTCCAGCGCCCTCTCGCCGTTCCGCATTCCGAGAACGCGGCGCAGCCGCGTTCTCGACCAGTTCGCGGCCGCTAGGCCGTGCTTTGGCCGTGGGTGAGGGTTAGGGTTAGGTAGCCTTGCTCGCGTGAGGAACCTAGCCTTGCAAAGTGCAACATCGGTTAGTCCTAAAGAGTCACTAACAGAGTGTAAACAGACCTCGAGACAGATTAGCAAGGAATTCATAGCGTCAGAAAAAGCTACCTGTATGTCTACGATTTCCCAGACAGCATACAGGGACATCTCCCCTGCGGGTAATAGGCTCAACAAAACAGTTTGTTTTTTGGTAGCTGTCTTGTGTGTCTCATATATGTTATGTTGGGAAGGTGCAGAAGAAAGGTGTTGGGTACAAGTACTGTATCTTTGTTTTTCGGAACTTTTTTTTTTTTCATGCACTGAAACGCGAAACGAAATGTAGAATACAACACGGTATTCACTAGTATGCATACGTATGCGTAAGATATGTACCAGTCGGTATCTACAACACTGCTATCCCGGAGAGGTCTTATATCTGTGGAACAGACGAATTTTGCTGCATTGCGGTGATACAATAACAAAACTTGATATAATTGTTACCTGGTCTTTCCTGTGTTTCAACCAAAAACGAAGTAAACATGGCAAGCTGCTGCTAGATGTGTGGGAGTAGGGTTAACACGTAAACATGGCAAACTGCTGCTTGGATGTGTGGCAGTACAGGGTTAAAACGTTGACATGGCAAAACTGCTGCCTGCTTTGTGGGAGTACATATGCTGTACGTACCCCCAGACAAGCGGTATTTATTTGCACACACCCACGCAAATGTACGCTGACAGAACATTGTAAAATATAAATATGATTTGAATTCGTTGTTGCTAATCCGTTGTTGCTAATCTATATGGTAAATAGACTCTTTTCTATGGAAAGAGATCAGTAGCCTTCGCATTTTTTTTTTTTTTTCAGGAAGTATGTTGGACAAAGCGCACAATCGGGGCAGAGATGGATTCGTTGTGTCATTTTGAGGGAAAAAAAAAGAAAAGCCGCTTCGCCACGGGGGGGTCGTAAAATTCGTGCTATCCTGCCGCAAGTTGTGCTCCGGGAGAAGAGTCGTTTTTTTTGGGATCTTATCATCGGGTACTGAGAAGTAACGTATTTATTTGCTCGACATGTAGGGGGGGGTGGGGGAGGGGCGTCATCCCATTTCTTATTGACGTCGGTCCTTACAACTATCGGTGCCACAAGTCTGGACGCACCACCCGCGGTCACGCAGCAGGGGAGGGACATGACGTGCATATCTATCGTCTCCCACAAACCAAAAACCATAAAGTAACATTAACGTGATTGATCGCCTTGCTGTCGGTAAAATAAAAATAAAAATCGTGGATAGTCATCGGGGCGCCGCTCCTTTTCCTCTACCATTGCGTGACACAACGTCCCCTACACTGAGCACAATAACTATCACCAAGCAGATAGAAAAGGAACTACAGCAGAAAGTTTCGTCGAATCTAGTCTACAGGGTTGCTGGTGAACACGACCGTAGCTTGTACACGTAAAAATCCATCAACAAGTATTTAGATACTCCACTCGAGAACGGAAATGACCAAGCGAGGGCTCCTCTTGGTCAGTCTGCAGGCAGGGTTGCTGCTGATTCATACCATGCTGCTGTGCCGCCGAGTGTTTTTTTTCTTGGGTCAGGTGTTGTTCTCGAAGTGCGCACTCCGCCAGAGCACACGACACCGATCCCGCAAGCTGCGAAACCAACCAACCTTGTAGTGAAGGGAAGGAAGCCCGTGCAGACAGACACGTGCACTTTAAACGCATTGCAGTGGGGGGCCCTCTATAGTGCGGGTGAAATCTCTTGGCACAGATGGAATATTCAAGACGGTTATTACATGGAATAGTGGGGGTGCCCGCTATAGTGCGGTGAAATCTCTTGGCACAGATGGAATATTTTCTCATCGCTTCTATTTTAGAAAGTAAACATCACCTCACAGAAATGCCAACTTTTTTTTTTTTATCGCTTCTTCTTGAAACAGATTTGCGAACACGACGACAAAGCGGCAAGATGTCGAGCTACGAGCCTGAGTTCGAGCAGCAGAAACGGCGGACGGGAAGAGGGCAAGATCAGCAGCAGCAGGGCAGCGGCGGCGGCGGCGGGTTCAACCTCATGGGGAAGATGAAGCGCAACAAGAAGCCAACCACGCCCCCAGGCAAAATCGTAACCGCAGAGCCCCCAGAAAAGACGCTTGATGGGGGTAGCAGCGGCAACGCGGGGGACGACGACCCCAAGGGAACGCCGCCGGCGAAGCCGGGAAAAAAGAAGAGTTTCGGCAAGCCGACCCTGTTGATCCGAAAGAGCGGAAAGAAGAGCCCTTCGAACGCGAAGAAGGTCGTTCGACGCAAGGGGGACAAGGCGGGTGGGGAAGGGGGGGGCGACGGCGATGGCGATGCGGAGGAGGAGGAGGATAG